GAAGGGAGCGGCAGTGATGAGGCAGTGCCCACCAGGGCAGGGACTGGCGTTGGGGCTGGGGAGAAACAAGGGCAGGCCATCGAGGCAGGGTGGGCAGGGCTGAGAGAACAGGAAATGGGAAGGGGGTTTCTCCTGAAAGGGGGGACGTGGCCAGTGGTTGGTCACGGAGGGTGAAGGTTGCCTCCAGAGTGGCAACCCTAAGATGCTGGGGAGAGGGATCTCCTGCATTTGGCAGGGGTCTGTGAGGCTTGTGATGGGCAGGCGGGCAGGTGCCTCCCTCTGAGAGGGATCTGTGTTTCAGGAGCGAGAGGATGAACTGCGTGCCATGGCCCGCAAGATCCGCATGAAGTAAGGCCTCCCCTTCTCTCTGCCTGGCTTCTCCTTCTGGCCAGCCTGCCCCCTCCCCCCTAGACTGCTCCCTCCCCATGTCTCCCCCCCCCCGAGACTGCCCCCTTCCAAGTGCCTTGCCCCCCAGCCTCATACCAGGCCTGTTCCCCCACCTTTGTCCCCTCCTTTCTCCTTTAGGGAACGGGAGCGGAGAGAGAAGGAGAGAGAGGAGTGGGAGCGTCAGTATAGCAGACAGAGCCGGTCCCCGTCCCCCCGATACAGTGAGTGCCTTGGCTGAGCCTGGTGGGGGAGGGGAGCAGCTTCTCAGTGGATGGGGACTCAGCTCACCCTCCCCCACCCAACCCATTCTCTCTGCCTTCCTTTCCAGGTCGTGAATACAGCTCATCACGGAGGTAAGGCCGCTGGGCGAACATTCAGCTCCCGCTGGGTGGCCCCGGGGCCATGACCTGTCCCGAGTGTAGCCAGCTCTTGGCTCCCTCCTGTCCCCCTCTCCCATCCCCAGTGGGTCCCTGGGGTTCTCCCACCGTGCTACTCAAGTCCTGTCTCTTTTCCTCTGTCCTAGGCGCTCACGGTCCCGTTCTCGAAGCCCTCATTACCGCCACTAGTGGGATTGGGGGGTGGGAATTGGGGAGGGGCTGGACCCTGTCCAGGGTCAGTGCTGCTGGTTTTACCACTTGTTTGTGGAATAAATTAGAAGAGTATTTAATATTCCTCCTATGGCCTGTTCTGTGTGTTGGAGGGTGGGGGGAGAAAGGGGGGGAATGACATTGAGACATGAGGATGGGGCCAGAAATGAGGCAGGGCAGAAGATTTTGGGATCCAGTGGAAACTGAGGCAGAGAGGAGAGTAACAAAGCCAGAATTGGAGCCCAAGGCCTGGAACTTTTTCCAGTGGCCTTTTTGTGCTGGGGCTGGTCAGCGCCTGCATGTTGGGGAGCTGTGGCCCGGCAGGCACGCGGATCTGTGCTGGGGTGGGCACAGCCCAGAGCAGTGTTTGGCAGGGAGAGCCTGCCTGTTTACCCTTCTCTGGGCTTGGGCAGGTGCTGCTCCAGGCCTGGGCAGAGGCTCAGGTTGTCGGGTATCCTCCCAAAACAGGGACACTTGTGCACGCCCAGGAATCTGGCCATATTCCCATGGAGGCACCCATCCTAAAATGGCCTGAGCTGGAACCTGGAGGGCCCCTGCACTGTCTCCATTTCTGCCAGTGCATGTTGGGATGACAGGCTGGGGCTAGCCTGGCCCTGGGGAGATGTCTCTCCGAGTCATCCTTACCACTACTATATTAGGCTCAGATGAGCCTGGTCACCTGGGTCCCCCAGTCTTTTGTCTGGGGAGAGGCAGAGACGGGGCCTCCTTAATCATGGCCCCATAACATCTAGTGGAGAGCAAGGGGGACCTCTGCCCTGGGGGCCCTTGCAGGCCCAGGCCCCTTCCCTCTTCTCTTGCCCAAGCCTCGCCCACGCCGGAACCGGGCCCACCACTTTCTGTGCCAGCCTGGCCCTGCCCTGGGCAGCAGCGGCAGTGGTGGTGGGAGCTCTTTTTGGCCCTCCCCCCCCCCCAAACCGGTCTGGCCAGCCACTGTTTCTTGGGGGGGGGTGGGAGGAACTGTCCCTATCCCACCTTTCTTCACTAAGTTGCCATAAGAAAGCAAAGAGCCTGTCTATTTCAAAAACTAGAAATGTTTATTACCAAAAAATAAAAACAAGTTGAGTCATGGATGGAGTGGGGGTTGGGGGTCAGCCTCATGCCCAGGCCCGTTTCCCAGCTCCCCATGTTGTCTCTTGAGGTGTTTGTCCAGGGTTGCTCGGAGGCCAAAGGGCACGAAGCAGTGGGGGCACTGGAAAGGGGGTGGGCCAGGGGCTGGACCGTGGGTACGCAGGTGGCGGGTCAGCTTGCTGCTCTGTGCACAGGCATAGGGGCAGAGGGGGCAGGCATAGGGCCTCTCCCCAGTGTGGGAGCGCCGATGGACCGTCAGGTTGCTGCTGTTTCTGAAGACTTTGCCACAGAACTCACAGGTGTCTCCCCTCCGCCGGCCCAGGCTCCCTCGGCCCCCTCCCCCTGCATCCTCCCCGGGGCCAGCTGGCGGAGCCCCAGGAGAGCCAGGTTCTCGACCACCCCCTTCCTCACTGCTGCCGCTGCTAGGCCCTGGGGGTGGGACCAGGTCTGAGGGGGCAGCAGCATAGTCGGCTGGCTCTGGTGGGGCTGGGGCAGAGCCAGGCCCTGCCCGCTGGTGAGTACGCAGGTGGCGGGTCAGCTTGCTGCTCTGGGCACAGGAATAGGGACAACGGGGGCAGTGGTAGGGCCGCTCCCCGGTGTGGGTGCGCCGGTGCACCGTCAGGTTGCTGTGGGAGCGAAAGCCTTTGCCACAGAAGTCACAAGCATGACTCCGGGTCCGGATGGAAGGTGCTGCCGCCGGTGGGGGGGCTTCTCCATCTTCGGCTGGGCTTGGCCGGCTCTGGTAGATGGCTAGGCCGTGGCTCTCCTGGGCATGGCGGAGGAGGGCCCAGGCACCCATGAACCAGCTGCCACAGCTGCTGCAGGAGAAGGCCGAGGGCTCCCGGGAGCCTGGATGAAGAGGCAGGAGCAGACTGTTAATAGAAGTGCTCGTGGGCCCGTCTGCAAAATGGGCTGTTTGCACAGTTCACTGTAACAGTGGCAGGCCCTGATTTCCAATCCTGGTCTAAGCACTGGGTGCCACCAAGGTCTCGGGTCCCAGCTCTTGGAAGGGCGTGTGCCAGAGGACTTGGTGGGCCTTGACTCAACTGACATCCCCGGGTGGGGGCGGGGGGGGGGGGACGGTGCCAAGCCCCGGCCCAGCCAGGGGGTTCCCAAGCCGCTGAGAGGGAGTTTCCAAGAGGAGCTCCCCTTGCCCTGTGTGCATCCACTCCTCCCTCCCTCCCCCGGGCGGCCGTTGGTCCCCTCTTTCAGCCCACCAGGCCGAGAAAACAGGGTAGGGTGGGGTGGGCTGGGGCCGTCCAGGAAGCCGGCCCAGCCCCTCCCCCAGGCCAGCACCTGGCCGACCCAGGGGCCCACGGAGAAGTGAAACCCAGGCAGCCGGGGCGGGACTCGCCGCCGCCCGCCCCCGCCCTCCCTCCCTCTTCCCCACAAGTCCGGGCCACCCAGACACCTCCCCCCCCCCCCCCGCCTTGCGGCCAAGTGTGGGCCAAGGCCGAAAGGGGAAGTCCGGGGCGCGCCCAGCCCCCCACTCACCCGTGTCCCCGTCTGGGTCGGGGCGCCGGCCCCAGGCGGGCCTCTGACAGCGGCCCCGCTTGTGCTCGATGAAGGCCACGATCTGGTTCAGCGGGAAGGTGAGCAGGCAGCGGCCGCACGTCAGCAGGTCGGGGCAGCTCCGGAGGGCTGTGGGGAAGAGGCGCCCGGGGCCGCCGGCCGGGGGGCGCGGAGGGCCCGCGCGCACCCGGAGCCCGGCCGGCCGGGGGGCCACTCGCCGGCTCTGCCCGCGTCGGGGAAATCCGGGGCGGCCCGGGGCGGCACGGACAAGGAGGACGGCGGCGACGACGACGACGACGACGACGACAAGGACGAGGAGGAGGCCGGCGAGGCTGCGGGGCCGCCCCGGCCATCGGGCGCTTGGGGCCGGACGTCGTCCTCGGCCCGGTCCCCGGGCCCCCGGCGGGGCGCGCTGCCCAGCTTCCTCCGGGACGTGGCGCACGCCGGGGCTGGGCCGCCGTCGGGGCCGTCCGGCCGGAGCTGGGGCGGGGGCGGCGCGGACGAGGAGGACGAGGACGACGAGGAGGAAGCCGGCGAGGCCGCGGAGCCGCCCGGGCCATCGGGCTCGTCGAGGGTCCGCGGCTCGGCCTCGTCGGACCGGGGCCCCCGGCGGGGCACGCTGCCCAGCTTCCTCCGGGACATGGGGCACGCCGGAGCTGGACGCGCAGCCGGAGCCGCCGCCGCCACCGCCGCGAGGCCGAGAGAGACGCTGCAGGTGAAGTGACCCGGCCTGGCCACCTGGCGGGGCGGGACGGCCACACGTGGGGGCCGGCGGCGGGCGCCTGCCCCGCCCCCGGGGCGGAGTCAGGGCGGGGCCGAGCCGGCGACCCGCCCCCCCCGTGGGGGACCAGGCGGGCGGCTGCCCGGCGACCAGGGCCATGGGGGAGGGGCCCCCTGTCGGCTCTCAGGCCCCGCCCCCATAGGGCGGAGGCTTCTAGGGGGACCCTTGGCCAGCCCCACGTCCCCTCTGCGCCTCAATTTCCCTTTCTGTAAAGCGGGGCTGAGAGGGACGCCGCTCGCCCGAGGCGGCTGGGAGGTTCAGGTTGCGACTAGGAGCGTTCGTGAAGCGCCTGTGGGCGCCAGGCCCTGGGCTAAGTGACCCCCGCCATCCGGGAGCCTGGGGTGGGCAGGGGAGCCCGCGTCCAGACCACGGGATGCGCACAGGACATGCGGCCGAGGGCGGTAGGGGCTTGGAGGGCGCGCCGCCGGGAGCCAAGCCGGACGGGCACCGGGCGGGCCGAGGGTACAGCGCTCCATAAGGGCGCCGGGCTCTGCCGTCCGCCCGCACTCAAACCCACGCCCTCCGCCCCGGGGCGCGCGGTGCCCGAGGCGCCGGAGTGCGCGCGCGCGCGCACGTTCTCCACTGCCCGCGCGCGTCCCGGCGAGCTTCTCCGCACGGCGCAGGCGCAGGCGCAGGCGCAGGCGCAGGCGCACGCGGGCCGGCGGGCTTCCCCGGACGGCGCAGGCGCACGCGGTTTGGAGCGTCGCGGGAGCGAACGTTCAATCCTGGCTTGGGTTCTGAGCCTTGGTGCGCTCGCCCGCCAGGCCCGTGGCCCGGGACCATGCCCGAGAAGGAGCTGCCCGGCCCCGAGCCCACCGCCAAGAGTCGAATGGCCGGCTATCGGAGAGAAGCGCCGCAGCCCGCCGGTGAGCCCCGGGAGCGGGAGAGAAAGAGGGTGGGGAGGAGGGCTTCACGGAGGTCCTTTCCGACCCCCGGGATTGTCTTCTCCCCCGGAGGGACACTGGGAGAGAGTAGACACGCCCTGCCCCTGGACCGGGAGTTCCTAGAGGGCGGGGTGGGTTTCCTTTTGTTTTTTCCTGAAGTTTTATCGGCCCCTCGCACACAGCAGGTGATTAATTCATGCTTATTGCTTTACCGACTAATCGTGTGCGTCTTCCTTCTCTGAGCCTCAGTTTCCTTATCAAGCAAAGAAAGGGGCCGAGAGATGTTCAGTCTAACTTTGCATGCGTTATGCCGAGCTTGTGTCAGTTAATAAGCATTTATTAAGCGCTGTGTCCTGGACACTGTGCTAAGCCTGGAGATAACAAAGGAAGGCCCCAAAAGAGCCTCTTCCCCGCTTCCCCCAAGCCAGTCCCAGCCTTCCAAAGGAGCTCCCAGTTTAAAGGGGGAGGGAACCAGCAAGCACAAAAATTCAGGGCCCGGATAAACAGGTGCTAAAATGAACAGCCGAGGGGAGGAAAGAGATTTAAGCCAGGGAAAATGCCCGGAGGCCAGAGATAAAGCATCCTTTTCTTGGAGCTGCTGGAATTTATTGAGAAGGGGAGGTGACCTGACGGGGTTAGACCTGAAATTGAAGAAAATTGCCGAAGCTGAGTGGGGGAAGGGAATAAGGGTTTATAGAATGCCTACCATGGAGAGTTCTTTACAAATCTCATTTGATTGTCACAACCACTCTAAAAGGTTGATGTAATTATCACCCCTCATTTTACAGATGAGGAAACTGAGGCAAACAGGGGAAGTGACTTGCCCAGCTAGTAAATGTCTGAGGCTGGATTTGAACTCAGGTCTTCCCACTTCTCGGTCCACAGTGTCATGTAGCAGTCTGCTGATGGAGTGGAGTGGGGAGAGGCCTGGCCCTGGGCCAGATGGAGGGTGGCTTCAAAGTCAGAGAGCCCCAAACGGACTCTTTTAATTAGAGACATTGTGATTTCTGCTGTCTACTTTCTAAGGCTCCTCTTCATTCTGTTGCAAACTGAATTAAGAGAGTGGAAGGGAGCTCTGGGATTGCATTCTGAGGGCTGGACCCCAAATCAGGGCCAGGCGCTTGGCACCCAAGTACCAAGAAGGAAGCAATCCCTGCCAACGGGAAGTTTACTCCAGAAATACAGACTGTAAACCTCTCCAGCACCCCTCACCTTCCTATGCCTTGTGGGACCTTTAGGTACATTTTACTTAGCCTCTCTGCCTCAGTTTACCCTGTCTGCAGCTTTGGATGCTCTCCTCCATGACATCCTCCCCCTTCTGTTCTCCTGCCTCTCTGACTGCTCCATCTCTGTTTCCTGTGGTCCTCAGCAAGGCCATGCCTCCCAGCTGTCCCTCGGGGTTCTGTCCTGGATCCTCTTCCTTCCCTCCAATCCACTTCACTGGCTGAGCTCAGCACCCACGGATTTATTACCATCTCTATGCTGGTGATGCCCAAGTCTGCCTTTCCTAAGCCAACCTCTCTGCTGACCTCCAGTCTAACATCTCCAGCTGCCTTTCAGACATCTTGAACTCAATATGTCCCAAACGGACCTCATGATCTTTCACCCTAACCCCCCCCCATCTTCCCTGTTACTGGACAGGGTACCTCCATCCTGGACTCCCCCCCCCATCAATTTCACCTCTGCAGCATCTCTTGTGGATTTCATCTCCTCCTGCATAGTGTCCTTCTCTCCTCTGAGGCTTCCCCCACCTGGGTCCAGGTCTTCATCACCTCCTGCCTGGATTGCTGCAATAGCCACTGGGGGGGATTTACCTGCCCCAGGTCTCTCCCCACTCCTGTCCATCCTTTATTCTGCCACCAAAGAGATTTTCCTAAAATGCAGGCCTGATCATGTCACCCCCTACTTAGTAAATTCCCTTGACTTTCTGTCGCCTCTGGTATCAAATACAGAATATTCTGGTTGGCATTCAAAGCCCTTCATCACCTGGCCCCCTCCTAACTTTCCAGTCTTCTTACAATTTACTCCCCAAAATATCCTCCTCAATACAAGGACACTGGCCTTTTGACTGTTCCAGGAGCAAGACCCTCCATCTGGGCTCTGGGCATTCTCTCTGGCTGTCCCCCATGCTTGTCCCTTCTCTGCTCTGCCCACTGACCTCCTGGCTTCCTTCAGGTCCCAACTAAAATCCCACTTTCCACAGGAGGCCTTTCCATATTCCCCTTAATCTTATCTCCAGTTTGTCTGGTCTCTCTCCTGTTTGTACACAGCTGTTACTGATGTCTCCTCTCTTAGACTGTGAGCTCCTTGAGGGCAGGGACTGTCTTTTGCCTTCTGTTTTATCCCTAGCACTTAGCACAGTGCCTAGGACATAACAGGGACTTAATAAATGCTTTTTAACAGACTGAATTTGTTTAAAAAAAAAAAAGAGGGGGTGGGGCTGGCCCTGCCTGGGATCCCAACTCTAAACCCATGAAAAGGGTTGGGGGAAGGGGTGAGTGAGATGCAACTTGAGACAATGTTTGTCATTTGTAAATCCTAAAGGAATTGATAAATTCAAGTTTCCACTTACAGATAAAATAAGTAGTTACTTATTTGCTGAGTGTAGGAGGAGGAAAAGGGGGTTCAAGGAGCTCCCCCTTCTGGGCAGGTTTCCTGCATCTGGCTTCTATGAGATGAGAGGTGCCTTCCAGCTGGGGCAGTAGAACCCCAGGTTGGGGGACCAACGTGTAGGCTGGCATGGTTGGAACCTCGAGCATTTGAAGGGGAGTAAGCCGGCATTTACAGAGCAGTTTAAGAGTTGTGTAATAAGAATAACTTTTATATGGCAATTACAACGAGCCAGACACTGTGCTAAGTGCTTTACAGTTATTTTCACATTTTGTCCCACAGCAATCCTTGGGATGTTTGTAGGTGTTGTTATGGCCCCCATTTTACAGATGAGGAAACTGAGGCAGATAGGCGAGATGACTTGCCCAGGGTCACACAACTAGCAAGAGTCTGAGGAAGGACTTGAGCTCACTTCTTTTGATCCCAGGCCCAGTTCTCTATCCACTGAGCCGCCTCTCTAGCTGCTTCCAGTGCAGCCAGCTCCAAATTAGTGCAAGTCATGAATCCCCCTGAAGTGCTTGTAGTGTTTGAATTCACGCTCCATAGCTCCCTTGGGCTGGAACCAGTGACTGTAGTTTACATAATTATAGCTTCCAGTCACAAGAATTTGAATATGTGTGACCGCCTCAAAGGATTCATCATTCATGCTAACGGGAAAACAAGGTGTAACCTGGAACAAAGCTGGAAACTTAGGGTCGGTCAGTTATGATGGTCGTAAAATACAAAATCTCCGTTTGCCATTGAATCCCAGGGGCCATACGGAGCCACTGCATCTTCCTCAGGGAGGGAGTGGCAGCAGGCCCTCTTGGGTTGTAGACGTATTTTGGTCGTTGTGTGGAGGGTGGATGGGAGAAGAGGAGGGACTATTTCAGATAGGCTATTGAAGTAAGCTGGAGGTTAAATGGTGGGGATCGGGGCCACAGGCAAAAGGAATCTTAGTTTGAATCCTATAGAATTCACCACCTCTTGGGGGATCTCACTTCATGAAGTCCTGAACTAGGTGGTCTCCTTCTGGGAGTGGGTATGGATACGGGGGTGGGGGCAGCTTGGAAGGATGAGAGCGCCCTCGACAAAAAATGCCAGCGTTTGGGGGAGGAGGACACTAATGAAATAGAAATATCTCATAGGTATCAAATGGGATTTTTTTTAGAGTTCTATTTATTTTTTAAAATAAACATTTCTTTTTAACATTCTTTTCTTAGAATTCTGAATTCTCTTTCTTCCTCTTGCCCCAGTAATGTGATATCAATTATACATGTGGAATCATGCAAAACATTTCTGTATTAGCCATGTTGGAAAAAAAGGTGAGAAAAATAAAGAAAACCCCAAAAAATCACGCTTCACTCTGGAAAGTGGGATCGTTTTTGTTAAGCGCTTAGCACAGTGCCCGGCACACAGTGGGTGCTTACTAAGTGGTTATTCGTGGTGTGGTGCCTTGGGCCTGGAGCTCAGGAAAGAAGCTTGGACTGGGAGTCATCTGTGATCGCCAGGAGAAGAGAGAGGCCAGGCCCAAACCTGGGGGTCATCTGCAGAACTGGGGAAAGAAGTGAGTGAGGCCAGAGGAAGGTCCTTGGTTTGGTGGGGAAAGGACTTAGCCAAGGACACAGAGGATCTTGAGATTACAAATGGAGGTAATCTACTCAACTGGGGGGGCTATACATGCAGGGCTGAGTGCAGCAGACTTGCCTTGCGGCCTGTGGTGGCCCTTTCACAGTGCCTGGCCCAGCCCACCCGCCACTTCCTTAGGGTCTGGCGATCCAGTCGGCCCTCCCTGAGGATTCTCGATTAGTTGCCTCCTCGGGACTCCTAGTAAATGCTTAATCAATGTGTTTTCGTGCTTTTATCCTAGGATACTGTACCAGGGGGCTGAAAGGGGTCCTGGAGGTCTTCTCATCCATCCCTGTCAGTTTTGTTTTTATTCTTCTGCCTCCAAACCCAAGTCTCTTGGCCCAGTTCAAGTCCATGAACTCTTATTCAGCACCTGGACTCCCTGGGAGCCCCATTTGTCTGGGCTACACGTCAGTCATTTCCCCTCACCGTTTCCTTGATGATCATGGGCTGCATCTAGAGGGATGTACCTCGTGGGGGCTCACGTTAAGTAGTTTCCTGATAAGCTCCCAGGAGCCTTAGGAAGTAAGCATTGTACACCCGCTTTGAGGATGGAGACACCAGGCCCAGAGAGAGGAAGGGGCTTGTCAGTCAGCCCTGTAGTATTTATTGGTGGTGGTATTCAGTCATGTCCGCTTCTCTGTGACCCCATTGGGATTTTTCTTGGCAGAGATACTGGAATTAGTTTACCATTTTACAGATGAGGAAACCGAGGCAAACAGGGTGACGTGACTGGCCCAAGGTCACACAGGTAGTAAGTGGCAGAGGTCACATTTGAACTCGAGCCTTCCTGATTCCATACTGCTTTTAGTGTGTGTGTGTGTGTGTGTGTGTGTGTGTATACATATACATACATACATACATATACACACACACACACACACACACACACACACACACACATATATTTTTTTTTTTAGGCAATTGGGGTTAAGTGACTTGCCCAGTGTCACACAGCTAGTAAATGTCAAGTGCTTGGTCTGAGGCCGGATTTGAACTCAGGTCCTCCTGACTTAAGGGCCGGTGCTCTATCCACTGCACCACCTAGCTGCCCCTGCCTTTAGTATGTATTAAGCACCTACTACGTGTAAGTCCATGATCACACATGTGTGGGACTCTTCTTATACTGTGCCTGCAGCCAATCCTAGAGACTGGATCAGCCCCAAGGATCTTCCCCATTCTGAATACTGGGGTTCTAATAGACGGAGTTTGATATTCTCAAGGTCATAGAATTTAGTTAGCATTGGACAAGACCCTCAGGGCTGAACTAGAGGTGAAACTATTGGTTTAGAAATTCTCAAAGGTATTAGTGCCCGAGCTGGGATTTGAATCCAGATCCCTCTGGCTTCAAATGCAGGGCTTCTTCCTGCTAGGTTCAGGACTGCCCCACCCCTTCCCAGTGGACTCCTTGCCCCCTCCCCCATTGTGACCTTGAGCTCTGGTCCTCCGAAGACACTGAAGCAGATTCCGAGAATTCCTAGACTAGTCAACAGACTGATCCAACACTTCAGGCTGAATTGGGTTCCCTGGTGAAGGGAGGGAGAGAAAAACAAGACATTAGGATTTGCCGTCTTGAGTCCCATGTTGAGCCTTAAACTCTGACTTTTATAACCTCAGGGCCTCAGTTTCCTCATCTGTTAAAAAAAAAAAAAGAGGAGAGAGGGGTGACTAGATGACCTTTTGGTTGGGGGGCCCTGGGGGCTCAGGCCCAGAAGGGAGAGTTCAGATCACCAAGTTCAAACTTCTCATTTTGGGAGAAGGCCTTCACTTGACCTGCTTCTCACAGAAAGGCTTCTCACCTGTATCTAGATCGGAGAAACTCTTTATCCCTTGACCTGGAGCGGAGCTCCCTTTGCAGGCTGGGGCCCTGGGGGCCCGTTCTCATCCCAGCCCGACTGACCAGTGGGCTCCTCCCTTTAGTGCCCAGCCAGCCGCCTCCCTGAGGCGGGCACAGCCCTGGGTTTCTCAAGGGCAGGCCTCTGGGGGCGGTCCTGCCCGCCTGGAGAGTGTTCAAGCAGGGGGAACCGGCAACATCTTCCCCCTGGCGGCAGCTAGCATGCCGACGGGCACTGGACTGGGAGCCCAGTTGGGGAAGGGAAGGGCAGAAGCATTTTTATGGCACCTCCTGTATGCCGGGCACTGTGAGCACTGTGCCAAGCCCTTTTTACAAACATACTTGGATCCTTGTTGCAGCTCTTCGAGGGAGGTTCTGTTATGATCCCCAGTTGAGGAAACTGAGGGAGACAGGTTAAGTGACTTGTCCAGCATCACCCAGTATCTGAGTCTGGATCTGAGCTCATGTTTCCATCAGCTGCCTTGCATTGGGGGGAGGGCCTGGTTTCAAATCCTACCTCACTCTCATTTCCCCATCTGCAAATGAGGATAGCAATGGTGTATACCTCCTGGACTTGTTATGAGGTTCAAGTGAGAGCAGAAATCACTTTCCCAAACTCAGAGATGCCCCCATAGCCTACCTTGCCCCAGTAGCCTTCCATTTGTGGGGTTTTTTTTGAGGTTAAGTGACTCACCGGGGTCACACAGTGTCTGAGTGTCTGAGGCTACACTGGAACCCAGATCCTCCTGATTCCAGAGCTGGTGCTCCATCCACTTCGCTGCCTAGCTGCTGTCTTCAATTTATATTCAGGGCCCTGGCCGTGAGCCTCCTTGAAAGGGAGAGATAGAATGGTGCCTGTGAGCCTCAGGCCTTGAGCCGCTGTCAGCAGCCCTTTACATTCCTAGAGGGGTCTAAAGATCTGTCTTTTTCCGGCCATACTTGAAATTTTAAATTTGATACTTTGGTCTTCAGTCCTGGGGCCCAGAACTGCACATGGTGCTCCCCCTGTGGCCTACCCAGAGCAGAGGACATTGTGGCTGTCATATTACACTGCTCCCTCTGAGCTTGCAGGCCACTAGAAACACCAGATCTTTTTTCTCTCCCCTCTCTTCCTCCACCTTCTCATCTCCCAGTTTCTCTTTTTTCCCTTCTCCTCCCCTCCCTTCGTTTACTCCTCCCTCCCTTCTTATCTTATCCTGGAACTTCACTGGCCACTCCCAGGCCCAAACCTACTGCTGATTCAGACAGACTTTCCCCTGCTGTTTCTGAGCCAGGCTGGTTCTCCCATCCTTAGGCAGCCTAGTGGGATACCTGACTCTCTTCCCCCTGTAGTTAGTGTAAGCTATCTGGTCCTTCATCCAGATCAGGGTTAGAAGTCTACAGCAAGCAGAGATCCTCGGGACACTCCATGAGAGTCCTTCTGGTATTATGCTGATAGGGATGGGTACTAGAGCAATCATTTCTTAAAGAACCCCTGGATGAGGAAGCTCCATCGACCAGTGTAGCTTGGCAGCCCTCTCTGCTCAGGGCCCTAACTTACTTAGGTGCTTATTTATTAAGCACCTGCTAAGTGCTGGGCTCTGCCCTCAGGGGACTCCCAGTCTAATGGGGGGCATCACCTGCAAACCAACAGGTATGAGTGAGCTCTAAGTAGGATAACTTGGAGATTCCAACTAAGTGGAATCAGGTTAAGTGACTTATTTAGGGCCACCCCTCCAGTAGGTATCCTGGGTTTTTCTGGCTGGGAGGCCAGCTCACTGTGCCCTGCTGGCCCTCAAAGGTCCTGGGGTCCCATACCCAGAGCAGAAAGGGACTTCAGATGCCATCTGAGGGCTTCTTTTATCGGTAAGGAAAGCCTTCACCCCCATGACCGTTTGGGCCCTCCTTCCAGGGGAGGACCAGAGGAGCTTCACTAACAGCGCAGTCGCTGGTCACAAAGGGGAGTGAGCTGAATCTGCCTTGGCCACTGCTGCTTCCTCTTCCTTCTGGCTGTCCTTTAATTACACATTCCAGGAATCCTCCTCCTCAGAAATCCCCGGGGCTTGGAGCCCCCGGGGCCAAATCCAGCAGAAGCCCTGGAAGGATGCCAGAGTGTTCTTCCCTCCCTATAATGCTGTCCAGTAGAAGTTGTTCTTCTGGGCCTGCTCTCTCTCTGTTCATACGGGGCTTCCCAGTTTTGTCTGAAATTGTTTCTTCCTTTTCTATGGGGAAGGGAAACAAGCATTTATTAAGAACCTGCCATATGCCAGGCATTGGGCAAGCTCTTCACAACTATTAACTCATTTGATCTTCACATCAACCCTGAGAGATAATAAACCCTGTTTATTATCCCCATTTTATAGTTGAAGAGACTGAGGCAAACAGAGGTAAAGTCATTTAACCCAGGGCCACACAGCTGTCTGAGGCTGGATTTGCACCCGTCTTCCTGACTCCGGACTCACTGCACCACCTAGGTGCCAGTCGTGGCATAATTTTTCCTACCAATCCATCTAGCCATTTCTCCTTAAGTGGGCACCTGCCCCCATTCCCTTAGTTTCCTGTTTTTTTGGCCACTACTAGAAGAGGTGCTGTATGTATTTTTTGTGCTTGTGGGATGGGTCCTCTTCCTCCTGCCTTCATCTCTTTGGGGTGTGGGCCCCGATATGTCACTGGGTATAAAGCCTTTGCTTCAGTTACTTATGGGCGACAGTTCTGAATGGTTTGCATTTTGTATGCCTGACGGAGTCTCCCTTAGACAATGTAAGTTCCAAGGAACCTCTTCACTCTTGCCCATCTCCCCGACACCTGGAACTTAGGAGGAATTTCCCGAACTTGTTGGCTAACTACAGATCACACCATGGAACCTTGGAGTTTGTGGTCCATCAAGGGGAGGGGGCTGGGGAACAAGCTTTTATGAAGTGCCTCCTGGGTGGGGGGGGCATTGTGCTAAGGACTTCACAAATAGAATTCTGGCAGAGAATTTCAGACCTGAGAGAGAGCCTAGAGAAGCCTTGGTCCAGGCGCCCCGTGCCGCCCCCCCTCCCCCCCCCGGTGCCCAGAGAGGCAGTGAGGGCTAGAAGGGGCTCGCCCAGGATCACCAGCAGTCAGCAGCCCAGGCCTCAGTTTTCTTCCGGGCTCCTTTCACCCATCACTAGACTGGTCCAAGCTCTCTCATGTGGAGAGGGGCTCTCCGCTGAGCCGAGGTGAAGGGTGTATAACAACCTGGCATTTCCCCTCCCTGACATCTCTTTCTTCTTCCCCCTCCCAGGCGAAGACAGGCAGATCCCAATTCCTGTCCCGGTGATCCGCCTTCCCCGGGGTCCAGATGGCACCAGCCGGGGTTTCAGTGCTGCCCGGGGCCGGGACGGGGCTGGCTCTGCCGAGGAGGTGGCTGAGCAGCAGGCCCGGGCTGCCCTGCGGGAGCGCTACCTCCGAAGCATCCTCGCCATGGTGGGGCGACCGGTGCACTTTACCCTGCACGAGCGCGTCCAAGTGGACGCCCACTTCGGGGCTACCGACCTCGATGTGGCCAACTTCCACGTGTCCCAGTTGCAGACGCCCCTTGGGGTGCAGGGCGAGGCCCTGCTCCGCTGTGCTGACATCATCTCCTACTCCTTCCAGCTGTGAGCCCTCCCTCTCCAGGCAGCCCCCAGGACTTGGACAGCCAGCCTAGCCTAGGACTGGGGAGGGAGTGGCCCAACCCAAAGCGCAGGGACAGCAGCGCCCCCGTGGCCCGTGGCTCAGATACTGGTGGGGACCAGCGGGGAGCCTTGTCCAGCTGGTGCGAAAAGGATGCTGTGACTGGACTGAGCGCTCGGGAGAGCGAGCTGGGATCCATCTACCTTCCCAGGCCAGCCACAAACGTTCGGGGTCCTGGACTTCACCGAGGGTCATCTGGGGAGGGCACCACCAATAAACCCCTCCCTAGCCGCTCGTGGAAACTGCCTGATTCTTTGCAGGGTCACCACGGATCTCATTGTTTCCCCCAAGAATGGGAAGGCAGCAATCCTATTCACTCATTCAGTAAACATTTATCAAGCGCCTAGTATGTGCCCAGCCACTGGGCTAAGCGCTGGAAGAAGGGAAGGGAAGAGAGATCAGGGCGGGCTTCTAGGAGGAGGGGGTCTGGAGGAGCTGGGTGGGAGGCGGGGGACGATAGACCTCTGAGGATGTCTTCAGGAAGAGGAAAGCGGTGCAGCGCAATCAGAGGCACTGCGGGGTGGGTGGGGGCGGAGAGCATGGTGTGATGTGGCTTTAAGGAAGCAGATCTACGGCGGCCTGTCGGGAATCGCACGTCCCTCCAAGCCGCCCTTTTTCTTTTCAATAACTACCCGAGACTGCCTCGATTCCTCAAGGTAAGAACGACTGCCCTTGAGGACCGATGATTTTTTTTTTTAAGTCTTTTATCTGCGAGGTGGGCTGGGCGTCGCTGGCGAAAAGCTTGGCACCCGTGGGGGCGGGGCTCGTGCCTCCTCTCGCACGTGCCTGTTCGCTCCATCACTTTCGCCATTTTTCTGCCCTCGTGTTTACCCGGTATGAAGGTCCCCAGCTTCCGCCGTCTCCAATCGAAGTCAATCTGCTCCACGGTCGCGTCAAAAGGCCAGCCAGCCCTGAATGCAGCGCTTGTTGTGAAGAGTGAGCACGAAATGGGGCGGGGCTCACCGTTTCAACGCCGAAGGGATCCTCCGGCCGCCGATCTATCCATCCGACCTCGCATATTCGACACGGTTTTCCCTTTTTTCCCTTCCAGGACCCCCCCTTTCCACTTCTCATGTATTTGAGTACTCCTGAGCACCTTCCCTCTCTCTGGACATTTTAAAATTAAGCCTTAACAAAGGCTGACTTGTTCCCGTCACTTGAAAGTGAGAATTCGGATGCTGTAGATGCAGAGAAACGGGAAGGGAGGTGTGGGAGGACCCTGACAGCGGCCATCTGTCTGCCTGTCCGATTCCGCACATTCGTAGATGTTTTTCCTCTTTCCCTCATTTAGTTTCATTTGGTTCATAAAAAATGTTGCGGCACTCTCCTGCTTTTTGCGCCTTTTCGATTTGGCTCTGGAACGCAGCGGCCAAGCTATTTACCGCATATGACTCTATGCCGTGTGAGCAACAGAAGCGTGGGTTGGATTGGCTACGTCGTTTCGGCACAGCCTTCCTCCATCTGCTTGTCCGCACGCGCATATTCTCCACAGAGCTTATTTTTCTCCCTATTAAATTTACATTTTGTGTTTCTGCCCTTCAGTTCTAACCTCTCCGACTTTTCCCTTTGTTTTGCTTTTTCTTTTTTGAAGCTGTCCCCTCCCGACTAAAAGGCTGTCTATCGCGAAAGTGCGCCAGCTGACGCGGCGCTCTTGAAAGCGCAGGAGAATGAGCCGTCGCGTGGGTGGGTCTAAGATGTGACGGGGGCGTGTCTTCACAGCGCCGGAGGCGGCATTCTCTCGTCCGCCTTCTTGTCCTCCCCGACACATTCGCCACAGTCGCCGCGTCTTCTTCCCTCCAGATTCCGTGCCGCAGTCCTTTCTCTTTGAATCCCTTTTTTGTTTCCTGCCTCCGCCGCCTCCGCGGCCCTCTTCAGGCACCCGTGGTTTTCGCTTTAGTGGGGCATCGGTGACGAAAGTGCGTCTTCGGAGGCGCTCCGCAGGTCCGGCGCCAACGTGCGTGCGCGCCGGGGCGGGGGCGCGCGCTTGGGCTCCCGGGCGACGACGTCGACGTCAACGTCAAGCGAGGAGGCGGCGGCGGAGAAGGAGGCGGAGGCGAAGGCGGCGGGAGGCGGCGGGAGGCGGTGTCGGTGGGGGTCGCTAGCGCTCGGGCTCCGCGTGGGGGTCGCCGTTGGGCTCGGAGCAGCCGGGGGCGGGGGCTCGGGACGCGGGCCGCGCCGGGGCCGGGGCCATGGGCCGGCGGGGGCTGGGCCCGGGGCCCCGCTGAGCTCGAGCCGAGCCCGTGCAGGCCATGGCGGGCGTGCCCGCGGGCGCTGAGGCCGTCGGCGCCGCGCTGGGCCCGGCCCCGGAGGAGGCGCCGGCCCCGGAGCAGGCCCCGGCCGGCGCTGGAGACGCCGCAGCCGCCGGGCTCAAGGCCGCCGCCAAGCGCGTCACCTTCCCGTCGGACGAGGACATAGTGTCCGGAGCCGTGGAGCCCAAGGATCCCTGGAGACACGGTACCCGGGGCCGGGGGCGCAGCCTGGGGTAGGGGGGGCACAGGTGGGGGGGCAGTCCTGGAGGAGGAGGGGACGGACAGTGGTCAGTCCCGGAGGGCAACCTGGAGGAGAGGGAAAACAGACGATGTGGTCAGTCCAGGAGGGCAGCCTGGAGGAGGAGGGGGTGGACAGTGCCAGTCCAGGAGGGCAGCCTGGAGGAGGAAGAGGGGACAGACAGTGTGGTCAGTCCCGGAGGGCAGCGTGGAGTAAGAAAAGGGGACAGACAGTGTGGTCAGTCCCAGAGAACATCCTGGAGAAGAAGGGGATGGGCAGTGTGGTCAGTCCCGGGGGCAGCCCGAAGGAGGGGGAAAGCAGAATGTGGTCAGTCCCGTAGGGCAGCTTGGAGGAGGCGGAGGGGCTGGTCAAGAAGTTAGTACCGAGAAGACCCTGCAGGAGAGAGAATTTAGGGGTCCTTGGCAGGGTGGCTCCTGGGGTATCCCCGACAGACATCCTGGAGGATGGGTTACTGGGGAAGGGGGGTGGCTAAGAAGAGGAGTTTTTGCCGTGGAGGGGGTTATTCTAAAGGAAGTAGCCGCCCCCCGCCCCCCCCAGTTGAGAGAAGTGGGTTCTTGTGGGGAACATCTTAGAGGAGGTGGCAGTGGAGAGAATAAAAGTGGTTTGGTGGGCAGCTTGGAGGAGGAGGAGGAAGTTTGTTTTGGGGGATGGTCTTTGGGGGCTTTGATGGAAAAAGTTGGTTGGTCCTGGAAGGCACCTTGGAAGTGGAGCTGTGGCCTGGGGGTGGGGAGAAGGTGGTTCTTCAGGTTCTGGAGTCTGCTAATAGAGGCTGTGTCCTGGGGGGCAGCACGGTGGAGGGCAGGGGTCAGTTAGCCTATGAAGAAAGGCCTGAACCTGGGGTTGGTTCTTGTTGGGAGGGAGGAGATCCTTGAAGAAACGGGAGTGTTGAGGTGGGGGGCGGGGAACAACAGGGAGGCGCCTGGCTCGGGTGCCCAGGGGAGGATGAGGGCCTCTGGAAGTGGGGGGGCATGGCAGGTCAGCAGTGCAGCCTGGTCCTCCCTTTGCAGGTGAGCTTCAGGGACTGGCCTTGGGTCACGCCATGGGTAGAATGGGCCGCTCCCTCCCGGTGCCCCCAGATGGAGAGGTGGGGAGCAGGATGGGAGGGAATGAGGAAAGTGTGGTCTCAAAGTTGGGCAGGGGAGAAGGAAAGCTGTGCTGCTCATGAGAGCTTGGGTGAGGGATGCAGAATGTAGGTCCTTGGGGGTGGGGCCCCACGAGAAAGCTAGGGGGTCTCCCTAGAGAGTAGTGGAGGGGGCTGGGAGCCACGCAGCAGACACGAGCCCTCCAGCTCCAGCAACCGAAGATGTGTCATTTGAGGTGGGCCTGCAAGTGCATGCTTAGGACCCAGACACAGAGGTGGGGAGGGAATTCAGTCAGCCGGTAAGCATTTATTAAGTGCCTTCTGCTTGCCAGGTACTGTGCCAAGTGCTAGGGATATGAAGAAAGGCAGGGGGAGGGCACTGGAATGAAGAGGGGTTGAGGAAAGGCTTCCTTCGACGGGAGGGAGGGAGGGAGACAGTACGCAAGACATCCCAGGCATGGGGTAGAGGTGTCACGGGGTGTGGAGTAAGGTGTGAGCAGCCTGGAGAGGGAGGAGGGGACCCGGTGATCAAGGCCAGGGTGACACGGTTGTCAGAGCGCCCAAAGTCTGGCAAACCTGGGTCGTGTTCAGGAGCTAACGGGGTCCCTGAAGTCCAAGAAGGTGGTGGGAGGAAGAGATGGAGGCAGCTGAAATGCAGTTTCCTTTCTCCGTAGCCCTGTTGGCCTTGAGGTCGGCCTTCCCCAGCCATGGCCCTTCCTGCCGGGATGTTCCATGTCACTGGCAATGCTTTCTAGGCAGGATTCCATTTTCCTCAAGAGAGGCCACGTGGGTTCTCCTGGCCGAGGCGATGAGGCCCAGAGGGGGAGTGAGCCCCCACAGATCCCGTGGCCGTCCTTCCCGGGCTGAGGCTGGGTCTCCAGGGACTTGATCCACTCTCCATATTTTACAGAGAGGCCAGATTTCTCCTTGAGGACGTGTGCTTGGCGTTTCATAAATGCATGTTGACTGGCCTGTAGATCCTAAGGGTGTTAGAAGCAGGGTGGTGGAGGCCAGACTTCAGCAAACTCCGGGAGGAAGGCATTGCTGGTTTGTTCTGCGTGAGCAGAAGGAGGTGAGGGCCATGTGATCATGCAGAGCACATGATCCCATGCAGAGCTGGGGCACGAGAGGATTGCCGCCTGCTCCCCTCCTTTGGCCTGCCAGTGCCTCCGAGACCCATCCCAGACAGGATAAAGGGGGGGCGGTGAATTTTGCCTGTTGAAGAAGTCGTTTACCCCTTTGGCCGGCGGGCTGGGCAGCTGTAAGCCGTGGTTTAGACCGAAACCAGCTCATGCTTTGTCATAGGATACACAAATTGAGAACAAACGGTGCTCTTGGAAAAGAGAATGTCTGAGCTCAGGGCTTCACCACCCACTGTGCTAGAGGCTGATGGAAGCTCCTGAAGGAAAAGAGGGTTTACTCCGAGGGAGCTTATGGGGAGGCAGGGAGCCTGGAGCTGGACTGCACCCTGGGCCTCTCCTGCTGTGCCGCAGAGCCGCCTCCCCACATCAGGCCCTTGCTCTGCCCCTCGCCCCCAGTACCTCATTCCCACCTCTTCTGTGTGAGGCCTTTCCTAATCCCCCCCCCCCCCCCCGTGTCCTTCCTCCCAAACCACCTTGGATTTCACTGCTCTGTGTGTGATTGGTGTATTATGATTCATAAATGTGCCCTGTCTCAGCCATTAGAATATAAGGAATCATTTCATGTTTTGTCTTCATACCCTTGTGCCTGGCACACTGTAGGAGCTTAATAAATGCTGGTTGATTGATTGATGTGACCCTTGGACAAGGGAAGCAGTGGCCTGAGATGGATGGAATCTTAGGCATCTTCCTCTCTGGCACCAGGTGTCAGCCATCCAGCTTTTTCAAACTCCCTTCCTCGCATGCTGACAGCTCCTCTGGCTCAGTGCCTAGAGTACTGGGTTTTTGAGCCCCTCATGTGACTGCTCATGTCCTTCTCCTTTTGGTCTGAAGACACATGAGTCATGTTTGACAGTCTGTTCCCTTTCAGGAACCTCCAGCCTCCTCAGCGACACGTGCTTTTCTCAGGCCTGAGGGAAAAAATAGGCTGCCCTCCATGGGAAGATGCAGTGGCTTATAGCAGCAGAGACGCTGGCCTGGGCCACGAGAGTCCCTGACCCGGAGTGACCTTGGGCTAGTTCCTGCCCCTCTCTGGGCTGTAGCTTCCTGCTTCATAAAATGAGGTGAAATTCAAGAGCTTTTGAGGTAGATGACCTCAAGGTGAAGTGTCTGCACTCCTGGTGGATGGCATTTGGGGGCCTGTCACACTTTCCTGTTTGGTTCCCCAAGACAGAGTGCTCCTAGCATCACAGAAGGTTAGAGCTGAAAGGAGTCTGTTTGGATGGATGGAATATTGGAGCTGAAGAGCTTTAGAATGTAGGCTGAAAAAGCTGCAAGTGATCCCTAGACCACCTTTATTTTACAGAATAGGAAACTGAGGCTCAGAATGGGAAACTGACTTGACCAATTTCTGGTGGCAGTTTAACAGTGGAGTCAGAATTGGCAGCTGGCTCTCAAGATGGATAGGGTTGGGAGGCCAAGGGGAACCAGTGTCTCCATGTAACAGGTGTTGTGTTGAGGTGAAGGTTGATGGTAACCTGATTCCCTCTCTTAGCCTCCCTGGGCCAGCCTTGTTGCAAGGCCCTGGCCCCTTGCCTACCAAGAAGTTTAATAGGGTGTGTGTTACCAGTGGTTGAGGGCCTGAGGCTGGGTTTGCAGACCTGAGGCCCCTTTTCTACGTAGGACATTCATTCAACAAGCTTTTGGGAAAGGCCTCAGCCTTGGGGGAGATTGGGATTGAAATCTGGTCTGGACTCTGCCCTCAAGGGGATTGCAGTATAGTAGAGCTAGGGTGAAGACTCCTAGAATAAATGAAATGTAAATTAGAATGTCTGAAATCTGTAATGGAACCAAAAAGGGGGTGGGGGAAGGCTTGGGAAGGATGCCAGGTTGAGAATCACAAGACCTTGATTGGAATTCTGCTGTATGGCCTTTGAGAGCCTGGGCTTCATTTCCTCTAGGGCACTTGGCTTATCTTAAAAAAAGAAATTGGATAAACCATAAATGAACTCACAAAGAAAATACTCCAGGTCCAGAAAGATTCACAAGCAAATTTTACCACACATTTAAAGAATTAATTCTAATAATACATAAACTCTTTGAAACAGTAAGAAAAGCAGAGGTCCTACCAAATTCCTCCTATAACAAAAATATGGTCTTGATACTAAACCAGGGAATCAAATCAGAGAAAGAAAACTACAGCCCAACACTCTTCATAAGTATCGATGGACAAGTTTTAACTATTAACCAGTAGACTCCAGCAGTGTATCACAAAGATCATTTACTGTGGCCAGACTGGATTTATACCAGGGATGCAGGGCTGGTTCAATATTAGGAACACTATTGGCATAATTGACCACATCAATAACACCAACAAAAATCACAGTTATCTCAGGAGACACACAAAAAGCATTTGACAAAATACAACACCCATTTCTGTTAAAAACACTAGAAGAATGGGGCAGCTGGGTGGCACAGTGGATAGAACACCGGCCCTGAAGTCAGGAGGACCTGAGTTCAAATCCGGCCGCAGACCGAACACTGACACTGAAGTCACTTAATCCCAATTGCCTAAAAAAAAAAATTTTTAATAGAAATATAAAAACACTTGAAGGCATAGAAATAAATGGAACTTTCCTTAAAATCCTATGTAATACTTATCTAAAACCAAGAGCCACAGTTATCTGTAACAGGGCCTTCCAGTAAGATAGAGGTAAAGGTAAAGCACAGTGGCTCCTAGGTGGCCCAGGGGGTAGAGCCTGAGTCAGCAGTCAAGAAGACCTGACTTCTGATCCAGCCACAGAAACTTTGGGTAGATGACTTACCCTGTTTACTTCAGTTACTCAGCTGCAAAATGGGGATAATAAACGGCACCTCCTCTCAGGGTTGTTGTGACGATCAGGTGAAATAATGTTTGTAAAGTGCCTGGAATGTAGGAGGCACCGTGTCAGTGCTCAGCCCCTTCTCCCTTTCTTCCCTTCCTCATTGTCACTATTACTGTTCAGTGTTGTACTAGAAATGCCAGCTATAGATGTGAAACAAAGAAAAAAAAGGAAATTTCAGGAACTAGCAGAGATAAAGAAGAAACAAAAGTATCACCTTTTGCAGATGACACAAGGGTTTACTTAGAGAGCCCTAAAGAGTCAACTGAAAAAAATCTAATTAGAACAATTAACTACTTTAGCAAAATTGCAAGATAGACAATAAGTCTGCACAAATCATCAGCATTTCTTTATAGTGCTAATAAAATCCAGCAGGAGGAGATAGAAAGAGGAATTCCATTTAAAATAACTACAGACAGTACGAAATACTTGGGAATGTACCTGTCAAGACATACACAGGAATTATATGAACACAACCACAAAACACTCCTTACCTAAATAAAGATAGATCTAAACAGTTGGACAAATACTAATTGCTCCTGAGTAGGCCAAGCCAATATCATAAAGATGACAACTGTTGTGCAGTTGTTTCAGTCGGGTCCAACCCTTCCTGACCCCATGGAGGTTTTCTTGGCAGAGATCCTGGAGTGGTTTGCCATTTCCTTCTCCAGCTTATTTACAGATCAGGAAACTGAAGCAAACAGGGTGAAGTGACTTTCCCAGGGTCACACAATTAGTAAGCGTCTGAGGCTAGGTCTGAACTCAGGAAGATGAGTCTTCCTGACTCTGGGCCTGGCACTCTAGTCACTGTACCACCTAGCTGCCCCAAAATGACAATGCTACCTAAATTAATTGTATCTGTTCAGTGCCATACCACACTATATAATATATACATATACATATATAAAGACTATAGTTATATATTTAAACCATGTAGTAATGTATGAAACTATAAAGTTATTTTACTTCATAAAGTAAAAGATTACTTTCTAGAAGTAGGAAAAAATAATAGAATTCTTCCAGAGGAACAGAAGGTCAAAAATATCAAGGGAATTAGTCAAAAAAAAGAAAAAGTGGGAAGGGAGAGGCCTGGCAGTACCAGATCCCACACCATACTAAACTACTACAAAGCTGTAATCATCAAAATAATTTGGTAGAGGGTAAGACACGGAGAGGTTGAACAGTTTAGATACACAGTACGCAGAAGTAAATAGCTCAGTAACGGAGTGTTTGAGAAAGCCAGAGAGACAGGGGCTCGCTGCTTGACAGAAACTGCTGGGAAAACAGAAACTCGGTGCAGACCAGCATCTCCCACGGTCTCCTAGGATAATCCCCCAGGAGGCACACTCCTCTCTCCAGAACGGCTGGGCCGATTCACGGTGACGCCCCTGTGTGTGATTTAGAGGAGAAGGGTGACGTCATCAGCAGATCAGTGGAGCGTGGAAGAAATTACCTCTTATCTCTGGGGAGGGCAAGAGTTCATGACCAAACAAGAGACAGAGAGGCTCACAGGAGGTAAAACAGACCATCTTGATTTCATAAAATCAAAAAGCTTTTGCACAAAGTCCGTGCAACCGAATTAGAAGAGAAGCAGAACACTAGCGGGGATGGGGGAGGGTAGAGATCTTTGCAGCAGGTTTTTCTGTTGAAAGTGTCATTTCTAAGATGTGTAAAGAACTGATTCACATTTGTTTGAATAAGAGAAATTCCTCCATTGATAAATGGTCAAAGGATATGGTCAGTTTCGGAGGAAGACGGGAGGGGAAAGGAAGGGAATAGTAATTTATGTAGTGCCTGCTGTGTGCCAGACACTTTAAAGTGTCATCTCACTTGATCCTCACAACAGCCCTGCGAGGTAGGTGATTTTGTTATTCTCATTTTGCAGTTGAGGAAACTGAGGAAACAGATTCGATTAAGTGACTTGCCCAGGGTCACACAGCTAGTAAGTGTCCAAGGCTGGATTTGAACTCTTCCTGGCTCTAGGCCAAGTGCTCTATTCACTGTACTACCTCTTGGATAGAAATCCAAGCTATTAATAGGCATGTGGGAATGAAGGGCTTTAAATCATTTGTGATTAGAAAAATACAAATTAAAACCACTCTGAAATAACAATTTGCATGCCTCGGATTGGCAGAGTGGACAAAAGGGAAATGACATGAATTCATTGTCGGCACATCTGTGAGCTGGCCCAGCCGTTCTGGGAAGCAGTTTGGTTCTATGCCTCAAGAGCTACTAACCTGTGCGTGCCCTTTGACCCAGTGATATTGCTACTGTCCCTACGCCAAAGAGATGAAAGCAATAGGAAAAGGACCCATATGTACAAGAGTGTTTGTAGTGTTTCTTCACATGGCAAAACATTAGAAACTTAGGTCGAGTGGGGGCTGCCCATCAGTTGGGCAGTGGCTGAACAAGTTGTGCTACGTCTGTGGGAGGGAATGCTCTTGTACTGTAAGATGTGATAAGGGGGATATTTTTTAAAAACCTGGGGAGGCTTGTAGGAAATGATGCAGAGGGAAGGGAGCAGAACCAGGAGGACAATTCACAGAGTCACGACCGTCTGGTAAAGACAGCTTCCCCAGACTGAGTGACTTACCCACGTGGTGACCCACCACAATTCCAGAGGACGCGGGCTGAAACGTGGGACAGCCGCTTACAGTGCAAACTGAAACGTATTTGCCTTACCGTCTTTTCTCTGCCTTTTTTTTTTAACTGGGCTGATGTAAGAATTTATTTTGTGTGACTAAATGTTTTTAATGGGTTTTCTCTTGCCTTCTCAGTGGGTGGAAAAGGGAGGTTAGAAGGAGAGAATT